TGAAGTGAGCACCCACATCTACATTTATACTTACACCTACACTCACATCTAATAGGAAAACGATATATGTAATATTCTCAATGGATCATTAACTCATGATAGTTCTTTGTCTAATTACTGGCGATTTTTTAATTAATTAGCAAAGTCAATAATTATCATTTGTATCTCATGATAGATTATTATTCAACTCAAAACTGTACTCAGCTATCTTTTCATACCATTTGGCAACCAAAAATCAAAAGAAACAACATGAAAACAATAGTTTTAATTAGGACATACTTGAAGTTTCTGTTGCTGCTGTTTTTGAGGTCAACCAGAATGTGAGTACAATAGCTAAACCTATTCCAGCGACTAATGATCCAAGAATACAACATTTAAAACACCAACACCACGCAAAAGATGTCTTTTTTTGATCAATTCTATTATTAAAATATAAGATATATAAACATCTTGAAATCGATACTGTACTTACCCATCATTATCATCATCATCTGCCCAGACAATGGGTTCGACTGATGACTGACTTCCATGTGTGGTCGATATTGGATCCGATAACCAGTCTGAGTATTGTCGGCTTGCCATTATGTGCGATGTCAGTGAATTGGTAGCTATTTCGATATAAATTGAATAAAGTAAAAATATGTATATATACATGTTTTATATAATAAAAATAATCAATAATGAGGTCTTTCAACGGCTTCAGACACGTAATGCAAATTTCATATTTCGCGTAAACAAATTCATTATTTTAATCAAAAGTTTGGCCTAGACAATAGAAAAAAGTGTAAGAGAATGTGTGTTCGATTGAAAAATTCATTATGTATTAGAGATGGACGGTTTGTATGTTACGAGTGGAAGGTAAGTAAACATGGGGTGATTTTGTTATATTAATTAAATTCATAATTCATAACAATTTCAACTGTTCTAGTTTTGTAACATATACGTTTTCTGATATTCTATCAAACGAAATATTGATAATCATGAATAAATCGTTTTGGTTTTAACATCTCTATACAATTAGTAGTTTTAAAAAGTAAAAGTACTCTGAAAAATTTCGATGTTACTAAATACCGATTCAATTTAATTCCAAGATTTTACTTCGTCTAACTAAGTTATGAATATTTCTAAATTTAATGTATACAAATCATTCCACTATATACAACGAATTGGTCAAATACGATCTATGGTTGATTGATTGTATTCTTCTATTGGACACCTTAAATTTGCAAAATAGAACTAAAAACATTGAAGTGTATGTTTTCATGTTTGTGCTTCATTGATTTATTTCTTTTCGTCGTATTTTTTACATTAATATTTATAACAAAAAATATTCTCTTCGCAGAATAAAATCTTTTTATTTGATTATTATTGCGCGTGAATTAATAAAATCGTACGTATAAACTTTATAATCAATTATTCTGTTCTCTTATAGAATGAGAAATGCTTTTAATCGTGAAATTTGAATTATGATTACGATGATATAAAACCATTGATAATCAGTGATACAATACATTTAAATGGCAACAAACTTATAACAACATCATTTATCATTAAGTCTGAGGATAGGTGTGTCTTCTCTCCTCATACACATTCATACACGCAACCACTCACTCCTACACCCTATGAATACAAAAGAAGGACATCAAGAATATCAATCAGTATATGAGAAGAAGGAAAAATAAACAATATACATCACTAAAAAAAGAAACGGATAAACATAAGATAACGACGTACATACATAAAAAGAGAAAGAGATAAATATTATGTATGAATGAAGAAGATACTAGTATTTATTTATAGACGGAACAAATGCTAGAAAAGAAAATGATAAGGTACATAATATTCGATTGTTACGGATATGTCTTGTAAAAAATGGGAAGATTTATTTTTATAAGAAGTATGGAATCACACAAGTCATGAACATAAAAATGAGAAAAAAGCAGAAAAGAGGTAGTGTTTATCAATGTCTTTTCGTTAATTAAAGTCATCCCAGTTAAGTTAATGTAACATACATTTGCAAAGGCCCTCCTGCATCAGGTTCGATCCTGAGATAATATGATATTATATAGTAATCTCCAGCAACAGTAGAAAACAATTGTTCCAAATAGTCAGTATTTTTACATGAATCGTAAACGCAGTATGCTCCTGCATAACATGGATTTGTTACAGTATGCGCATAATTACCAGTTGTTTTATCTTTACAATTGGGATCCATGTTACAATACTGTGTCCAGCCACTAAAATTTCCTGTTTCAAAATCACCATTAATAAGAACATCTGCGTTTGCATTTGTATGATTTACAGATATTTCGTCTAATAACCAGTAGTGAACAGCACCTCCTCCACCCTCACCCGTTATTATAAATGATAGAGTTGCTGAAGAATGATTTGCCCAGAAACTATAATTGTAACGTGTATACGTGGTCTCTGCATTCTTAGCGGCCAAATTCAAAATTTGTCCTGGCGGATTGGCAGGAGTAGTGCCGCACGTTGGTGCTATTGAGAGTAAAATGACATTTGATATAAAAGAATAATCATACGTTCGAAAACTTACCTGTTGTCGTTGTTGTCGTTGATGTTGAGGCTTAAAAAGTGAGAAATGATAAATTACTACTAGAAATCATATATTTGAGAGAAAAACGATACAGAAAAAAGTCAAATGACATAACAACAACTTACTAATCTATTTCGAAAGATGTAAAAATTCTTTTAGGTTTTTAAAACACAGGATTTTTTTGTTTGAAGTTGGTGAAAGAGAAGTAAAACGCCATGGCTCTGGCTTTCATTGGTATTTCTCAATATATCCTGATCAATTACCAATACTTCTCAAATATTTTTTTAGAAACGAATGACTTGCTCTTATGCTTAATCTAAAAGATACTCTGCTCGCTTCCTTTCTGATACTGCTCACAAATCATTATCAATTTGACGATGCAACTGTTAACGACCGTTCGACTGAAAATCTTGAGTGCAATGAGGAAAAACTGTTCTTCTCACTCATAGAATGCGATTGATGAAATATCTGTTCAATTAATCCACGCATATCACTTAATCAGGGATTATCGATTTTTAGAAAACCATCTTGATGGTGTGAGGGTGTGAGTGGGTGGGCGATGTGGGGTGTGGTACGAGTATCATAATCATAACACACCCACACCCTCACACCCATTCGCACCAATATTAACAGTCACATCCACGACCTCACCCTCAAGATCGACAGTTGATATTTGGGAGCAAATATCACAGAAGAGCAAATCTCGTTGGGGAGCTAATATCTGGAGAGCAAATGTCTCGAGAGCATCTTTCATGGATTTCGCTATTTCATAGTAATACATGCATTGTCATATTCTATCGAGAAGTGAAAACTGCAGATCTCGATCATCTTCCCTTCGAAAGTCATAAATATTTTCTCCAATCACCTTTTTTTAAAGAATAATCTACGATTATAACGATTGTTCGCGTGCGAATTATTGTGAAATACAAAATTCAATTCTCGACTATGGATTTCTTGCTTACTTATTTTAGAATTGCTTTGTATGTCTAACAACGATATTAAATCATTCATGACGAAACATTTATTATCTATTTATTCAGAGTAATGATGAACATCAAATGTTTTAAGAACAGTTATGAGAGAAGAGAAAAAATAGTAAATATAGTAATTAGAGCAAATCCGGAATCCGAAGCTAAAACATGTAATTCCGTACAAGTTCGACTTTGCATTAATAGTTCCATCTGAGTTATGAAACTGCTTAGAAAATTTCAGGTTCTAACTCATTCATTTGTTTGAGTATTTATACTCAACTGGTAGCTTTAATGTTTGAGAAATGATCATAATAGAATCAGTAACTTATGCATACATTTCGTATTTAAAAATTCTACTTTATCCGAAAAATTTTCACCCTCTTTCAATTCTCCTCAAAGTCTTGTTGCTTGTCAGAAGTTCATACTTGAAGTACTTGTCGTCGACGTTGTCTTTGATGTTGAACTCGTGGATGATGTAGTACCTATTGAGAAACATATACAATTATTCTAATAAATGTATAGTGAAATTGACTGTCATCTCAAAGTTGAGAATGTGGATGTGATTTTTAACTGTGATCCTCAGCCTCATTTACATCCACCTAAATTCTTTTCTTGACTCATTATCAACCATACCTGCAACATGGTTTCTCAGGTGGTCTGGTAGAGAGTGACTCTTAGGTTGGATTCTTGCTAATAAAATAAGTCAACTAGATTTTCTAGTACTTTTAACAATAAGTAACTGGATTGACTTTACACTGTTTCTTTTTTGTATCTCACCCGGTCAGCTGGGATAAAAAAATCTTTATTGAATAAAAAATGACTCTAAAAGCTTCTTCATGTTATTAAAAGGTAACTAGAATGCTATCCCTAAGTGTCTGTATCTGCTGTCACATTTTATCTAGCAATATGATGTTTAGCTCTAGGATTTATCAAAAAATTCTCTATGTACTATTGTAAGCTTCCTTTTTATTAAATACCTGAGCATTTTCTAATATTTGTGTTTGTGCTAATTATCCGTACGTGAAGTTAAAAAAACTTAAAAAAGATTTGCTTTTAGGGATACTCTGACAACTCTTGGCAAAATCATTAAATCCCGTCAAGTTCGATCTCAATCTATATTCAGGTCCTCTATCATATATTCAAAATATGTTTGCATCCATACTTGTTGTTGAAGTACTTGTTGTCGAGGTTGAAGCTAAATTAGGACATATTTTAGTTGTCAACATATATTTTCAAATATTATTGTTTACTAGATGTCGTTGTACTTGTTGTTGATGTTGTACCTATCGAAAAAGACGTAGTGTTGTAAGAGTGCATATTTAATAAATTAAAATTTAATCTAAGAGATTTCATCTCAACATTTGAATTTTATTTTCCAATGATATTACATTAAATCTTTGTATTCTATCACATAAGATAATTTTCGTACAATCGAAAGAAACGTTATTCTTTCAATAGACATCATATGTTGATCACATTGTAGAATTTATCAAATGTTAATTACATCTCAAACACTAAATTATCATGAGAATATGCCTGACTTACTAGTCGACGAGGTTGAAGTGGTGCTGGTAGTGACACTTGTTGTCGAGGTTGAAGCTACATTTGTACACGTTGCAATTATAACTATATATTTTCAAAGTTTGTTTCTTACTGGTCGTTGTTGAAGCTATTATTAGAAAAATAATCATGTGTTAGATGGTATTAAGAGATGTCATTATTCTTAATCTTTCATCAAGGATTAGATGAGTAGCTTAACTGAAGACCAAACAGGTCCGTCTTCTGTAAACCCGGACAAGATGGAAAAAGCGGACAGGATCGATACAAAATTTGGTTTATGAAGAAAGCATTAAATCATAATGTTATGCCCGTTGGTAATGATACATCCTTTTCATCTCTCACGTTTTTTTTTGTTTTCATTCACATTCCTCTCGCATCTCTTCCGTCCTTCATATCCCATTCTCTCACCACACATATTATTTACTACGAATGTGGGTGGGTGTCGGTGTGGATGTGGGTATTTTTTCAGTATTCTATAACTACATCCAGACTTGCAGCCACACACATCTTGAAGCTCACAATGGATTTCATTAAACTTAAAAGATTTTTTTCGCAGTTCAGGTAACTCGATGTATTTTCGTATAATTGAATGAACTCATACCAATATCCGTCAGGATGAAAGAATGCAGAATTCGCTTTTACTTTATTGAGCCTGGTCGAATGATCAATTTAGTTGTGGCGCACTCAGGTTCAAAATGTATATTTTTTAATTAAAATCGCATCTGTTAGATAAATCTTAGATCGATTACGAGCGTATCTGGCGGGGCCTATGATAAACTTGGAAATGAAGACCTGCACTTGCTTCAGTCAGGCAGAGCATCAAATCTGATCGGCTACTAGATTCTTTAATTTATTATGTGTGAGTAATTAAAATTGAGCAACATTCGAAACCAACAAAAGTTTCTATTAGATGGAATATGTGCAAATCTATGTCATCCTATTTTCTGGTTCGAAACTAGTTATCTTGTACAAAAATTTCATCATTAGAATGATTTTACTTACTTGTTGCTGTTGTTGTTGTAGCAGTCGTGACTGTTGTTGATAAGGTGGTCGTATGTGCTAATGATCATATTGTTATTGTATAAAGATAAATAAAAACGATAAAAAAAAGAGGTAGAATACTCACGTAAGACAATAGCAAGTACAGTACCAATGACTGCACTCACTAGAAGAGCAAGAGTGATGGTCAAACAAAAGCAACACGCAAGTTGACCGTAAGAACATTTCCTATAATTAAAGATCATACTAAAAATGAATAAAGTATAAATATTCAGTTGACAAGATCATATTCGACTGACTGATTGTCGCTCTCATTAGTAGATTAAAACAGGACAAGTGTTCTTGATCGTAGCGAAATATTCAAATTTACTTTTAGTAAACTTTTGCTTTGGTATGATTTTACAAATGTTCAATATTATATTACAAAATAAAGAACATTCAGAAAAAAACAGAATTAAATATAATAAGGTTAAACTTTTCACCGTAGCATATCTTCAAAAGCTAGGATCCAATATATTTTAATCTACTTACATTTGGAATCTTTTTTTAACATTTGAGTTTCTCATAGTTCCCCTCCGTGTATCTTCGATGTCTCTAAATCTATTATGCTGCATACGTTTCATATGTGTGCTCATTGGCTAGAAAATAAGATATAAAGTTAGATAAAGTAATTTTCTTTAGACAGATAAATAAACTTACCGATGCAAAAGCAGGATTACTGTTGTTGCTGCTCCTATAAGTTGTTGGAACGTCGCTTGGGCGTACGCGGGTAACACGGGACCGATAGGAATTCGCGGAGATGCGTGTGAACTGCATATTTCTATCTGTCATGTTTATTAAGATCCCTTGGCCAATAAATTCATTTGTAGTGATGGTACCAACTTTTCTCTTGTCAACCACCAAATAAATACAATCACACTGACAAAGAAATTCTATTTACATATTTATTTAATTAGAAAAAAAAAGTAAAAAGTATTTTCGGAAGCCAATGATAGTCATGTATTTCATATTACATTGGTTTCATATAAAAAATTGAAACTTTGATATGGTACACATTGCGACCGTTGGACTTTTGACCTATTTTCGTTATGAACATCATCAACATATTTGGTCATGTAAAGTAAAACTTTACAAGAAAAACATTTTTACTAGCATTATATCGTTTCACATAAAACATCAACATATCGATTTACAAAGTAAGAATCATTTCGTGAGAATATTATTGATTGTTCTTGGTACAGAACAATATAGTATAATTAAAAGCATTACTAGTGCATTTTTAATCAGAATCACTCCATTCTTTTTACATTTTTTTTCAAATCTTTGCTTAGCGAACAGTTAAATAATTTGATTTTCAAACAATATACATATTTCTCTTTTCTTCGCTCAATGCATGAATTTTATTTAAATCATAGACGTAATTTCATTGTTTTTTAGTCAAGCAAGAAAAAATTTTTTTCATAAATTGATATGACTCATTTTTGTCGTTTCTTCTTATTAAGATACTCAATCAATCTTTACAAAAATTAACCATACTTTTACATTAATATCAAATTATTCAATAAAATTTACAATAAATCACCTATAAGTAATACCAAATATTCATATTCTTAAATTCAACAATTTTGTATATGCATAAATATGTCAATATAATTTTCTGAAAGCGCAGAATAATTAAGATTTTTTTTGTAATAAATGATTACGTAATACTCAGGTTATGTAATCAAATATATTGATTTCATTTTCTACTAAAATTTCACATCAAACTTCAATCTAAGAAGCAATCTTGTTAATCAATCGATCGGAAATTAATATTTCATCTTTATTGTCTTCGTCTTTCTTGATGTTGATAATATTTTCTAAGTACAAAAAGTACACTTCCCACAATAAAAAAAACAGAAAAAGCTAAAAGAAAACTATATGCTTTTAATTTCGAAGGTTTATTCCATTGCCA